AATATGAAAAATTGACACAGATCTAAGAATATATTAATGTCTAATACCTAAGGAAGCTCTGAAACCTAGCCGTAAAACAGATAGCTCCTGAATCCATCACACGCCCTGAGTAGGAGAGCACCCCCAGAACCACTGAAGCTCCTCCTGAGTGCTGCTTTCCACCCTCTAATTCTACCCAGGAAACGCCTCTCTGGAACTTTTAGCATCTGTTCCCCTGCCAGTTTCCTTTCTTGGCTGTTTTTATACTTTGTAGAAATAGTGTTATATGGTGCACATTCCTTTTACACTTGCTTTTTGTATTTGTTAGTATATTCTTAAGATTTCTCAGTGTTAGTTTATATGTTTTCATTGCTGTGTAGCATTGCTTTGGGTGACTTTACACATTTTTCTATCAGTGGGCATTTGTGTCACTGCATGATTTTGCGGTTTCATAACTTACTTAGGTAAGTATATTCTGGACATGAGAATTTCATATCCATGTTATATGATCTCAGTTTATGCCTTGCCTGGTCACTCTCTTTAGTCAGACTGTAAAGCTTTTGACTTTTGCATTTAACTGCTTAATCCATCTGCAACAGAGGTTTATATGTTTGCATATCAAGTCGTTTCAGTCATGTCTGACTCTCTGGGACCCCATGGACTGTAGGCCGCCAGGCTCCTCTGTCCATAGGATTCTCCAGGCAAGAATACTGGAGTGGGCTGCCATGCCCTCCTCCGGGGGGTCTTCCCGACCCAGCAAGTGAACCCACGTCTGTCTAAGTCTCCTACATTCGCAGGCGGGTCTTTACCACGAGTGCCCTCTGGTTGAGGTAGGAATTCAGTTTCTCTGTTGCCAAAGACAAAACTGTTTTCTCAGCCCCATCAGTTCCCACATATATCAGCTTTTCATTTGTGGGTAGAAAAGTTTGAGGAGCTTCACTGAGGTCCCAAAAGCATTCTAGAATCACTGTGTCAAGTTTTGTTTCTTAAAAATCTGTTGCACTTTTGATTAGAATTACATGGAATCAAGGGAAAGTTGACATACCCAGGGTCCTGGGTCTTCTTACCTGTAAACTTGGTGTCTTCATTTATTTAATTTCCTTGAGTGTATTTCAATATGTTTTAATAGTTTTCTCCATAAAATTCTTAATATATTTTTCCTGAACTCTATTCATAGGTTCCTTGTATTTTTAATACTATTGTAAAAAGTATTTTAAAATGCATTTTCTAATTTTGTTGATATGTTGAAATGCAGTTGATTTTCATCTGTTGATCATATATCCTGCTACTATGTTAAGCTTTTATTAAATTTAATCAATTGAACATAGATTTGGGTAGCTTTCTTCTGTGTACATAAATACCATAAATGCCAAACATTTTGTTTCTTCCATCCCAGTCCATAAATGTTTTGTTTTTCAACTTAATGTCTTTCATGCCTTGATCGATATGAGCTCTAGGATAGTAATGATTAGAAATGGATTTAGTGGGCATCTTTGTCATGAGCCTCAATTTTTAAAGCATGTGCTTTTAATATTTTACCATTGAATATAGAGTTGCTATGAGGTTTTTGGTGTATGCTTTTTACCAAGTTAAGGAAGTTTCTTACTATTCTGATTTTGCTAGAAGTTTTTTTAATGAATAGCTATCTTTAAAATTTATTGAGTGCTTTTTTTCTGCACCTATTGTGATTGTAATTTTTTTCTACTTTAATGTGCTGCAAGTAAATTACATTAATAATTTGCTGTTATTAAACTATCCTTGCATTCCCAGAATAATCCCAAATTGATGAAGATGATGCTTTCTTGGTGTTTAATCTGTCACTATACAAAACTATCCCATGACTATTGACTGTATTTCCCACTTGGTGCGTTTCATGCCTGTGGCTCATTTATTTTGTCACTGCAGCTTTGTCCGGCTTAATCCCCCGCCCCGTTTCTCTCATCCACCTACCCTTTCTCCTGTTTGACAACCACCTGTTTGTTCTCTGTATCCTGAGTCTGTTCTGTGTCCATACACGTTTTCTTGTGTTTCGAGATTGCACACGTCAGTGAGATCCTGTGGCGTTTGTCTTCCTGTGTTTCAGTTAGCGCCGTGACCTCGGGGTCATCCTTGCTGTCCCGCATGGCGAGATTGCCGTTCTTATGGCTCAGTGATATTATACACACACACACACACACATTCCACATCTTATAAATATATAAACAATATATTTAACACATCATTTTATTTTTATATAATATATAATAGTATTATATATGTGCTGTGTACTAAGTCACTTCAGTCATGTCCAGCCATTTGTGACCACATGGACTATACCCTTCCAGGCTCCTCTGTCCATGGAATTCTCCAGGCAAGAACACTGGAGTAGGTTACCATGCCTTCTTCCAGGAGAACTTCCTGACCCAGGGATCAAACCTGGGTCTCTTATGTCTCATGCATTGCAGGCAGGTTCTTTACTACCAGTGCCACCTGGGAAGCCCCATATATTATTATTTATATATATGCACATCCTCTGGGTATGAATCCAAAGAAATGAAAACAGTAATTTGAAAAGAATATGCATCCCATTGTTCACTGCAGCATTGCTTACAATGGCCAACATACGAAAGCAATGTATATACATATATATGTGTGTGTATATATATGTATATGTCGTAGATGAAGTGAAGAGAAATGTTCGTTGCTCAGTCATGTCCGACTCTTTGCAACCCCATGGACCATAGCCCACCAGGCTCCTCTGTCCGTGGAATTCTCCAGGCAAGAACACTAGAGTGGAGAGAGCCATTCCTTTCTCCAGGGGATTTTCCCAACCCAGGGACCAAACCTGGGTCTCCCGCATTGCAGGCAGATTCTTTACAGCCTGAGCCACAGGGGAAACCCACGTCATAGATGCAATGCAATGCATATATATAAGTCATAGATATAACGCATATGTGTATATATATATATATATATAAAACACTGTGCCACATGTTCTTTATCCATTCATCTGCTGATGGGCACTCAGGTCGCTTTTGTCTCTTGGCCATTGTAAGCAATGCTGCAATGAACTCTGGGATGCATGTTCTTTTCAAATTACTGTTTTCATTTCTTTGGATACATACCCAGAAGTGAAATTGTTGGATTGTATGGTTCTACTTTTAGTTTTACTAGCAGCAAAAGTTCCACTAAAAGTTGTACTTTCAGTTTCCCGAGGAATCTCCACACTGTTTTCCACAGCACAGCACCAGTTTGCATTCCCCCCAAGAGTGCAGAAAGTTCCCTTTTTCTCTTCACATCCTTGTCAACACTTGTTAGTTGTTGTCTTTTTGATGATTGCCACTCTGATGGGTGTGAGATGATGCCTCATTGTGGTTTTGATTTGCATTTTGTGATGAGTGATGTTGAGCATCTTTTCATGCGCTGGTTGGCCATCGTATGTCTTCTTTGGAGAAATGTCTGTTTAGGTCCCCTGCCCACTTTTTAAGAGGTTGTCTGTTTTTTTGTGTTGAGATGTATGAGTTCTTTGTATTCTCTGGATATTATCCCCTTAACGAATTTGTCATGTGCAAATACTTTCTCCCATTCAGTAGGCTGCCTTTTCATTTCAAAGATAGTTTCCTTCACTTGCGAAAGCGCTTTAGTTTGATGTAGTCCTCTTTGTTCGTTTTTGTTTCTGTTCCCCTAGCCTGAGAGGCACATCCCCAAAAGTGTTGCTGAGACAGATGTCAAAGAGGGTACTATATTTGTTTTCTTCTTGGATTTTTATGAGTTTAGGGCTTACAGTGAAGTCTTTAATCCATTGTGACTTTAATGGTATATGTGGTGTGAGAAAGCAGTGCGGTTTGATTCTCTCATGGAGCTGTCCGGTTTTTCCAACACCATTCATTGAAGAGGCTGTCTGCTCCCTGGTGTGCTGATGTATTCCTCCTCCTCTGTCATAGATGATGATGCATGCTTTTTTGGTCTCCTGCTCAACAATGAAATTGTTGTAGATACAAACTAATTTCAAAATATGAAAGAAGACAAATCTTTGTTGGCAATGAAATCTTCTCAAGCACCTTAACAGGATTGCCCACTTTGCTGCAGGGTGTGAGGGGATTTCTGGCTGATGTGCTATCAGGTTGGTGTGGCAGGAAGAACACTGAAGGGCTTAATTTTGATCTCACTTTGCCTTCTGTTACTCTGGAAGAATGGGGACAGTTCGGTTGACTCGTGTGGGTCTTCTTTTCCTCCGTGAGTTTCTCTGCAGCTGGGGAACACAGGTTTGCAGCTAGCAGCCACGTGGCTTCCCTCACTTGGCTGTTATTCCAGCAGCAGCATCTGACAAACTCTTTCTTATTTACTGAGTACCAAGAATAAGGCAGAACCTGTTCCTCGGAGAACTTCCAGAGAGGGATGGAAAAAGCAAACAGTTAAGCACAGGTATAAAACAAAAATGATGCATCCTGTCTTCTACAGACCACACTAGCGGGACGCTGGGGCCGTGAGCGGGGAATCTTTGCGTGCAGTGAGAAAAGAATATTCAGATGTAATTCTTGAGCTGAGTCTTACAAATGATGGCCATTTCCTGATCTCCATCAGCTGCATTGGTGCTCTTAGTTAACAAAAGGATTAGACTGTTTTTTTTCTCTAGCATTCCTTCTAACTTTGAAAATTTATCTCTTTGACCTTATACCACCCTTTCAGGGTCTCAGAAATAATTTTATGCTTTATTAGACATTTTGCTCCAGTAAAAATTAATTTAAAAATTTTGCTCCTGCTTTCTGGTCTGTGGTCCTTGGAATCTTTTGTTTCATAGGTTTAAGGTTATGAATGGCAGAACAGAACTTCTTGGTTCTGTATTATTTAGTAATAGCAACATATTTCGTTCATAGAATACTGATGATATTGACAAGTGAATCCTCATTTGGAATTAACCTATTAACTTTGGTGTGTTTTCTATGGAATGGCTCAATTTATTGTTATCATAAATAGATATTTTTACAATTCCAAGCTTTATATCATCTCTAAGCACATTTCATTTGTATGTCTTATTTCAGTGCTGGACCCAAAGGAGACAACATTTATGAATGGAGGTCAACTATATTGGGACCCCCAGGATCTGTCTATGAAGGAGGGGTGTTCTTTCTTGACATAACCTTTTCACCTGACTATCCGTTTAAACCCCCCAAGGTCAGTATGATGTATTCATCCATTTTTAGCAATATGTATTATCGCTTATTTATATATATATATATACACATATACATATTCTTTAGTATGCACACCTAGGGATGCATGTCTATTCTGTTAGCATAGACAACTTCCCAGGACTGATTGTATGTAAATGGAAAAATTATTGTTTATTCCCTCATCCCAACCTTTGATGCACACCTCATTGTTCTTTCTCATCCTTTCTCGTATCACCTTTTTTTGTGGTGTATGTTTTAAGGTAACATAAGACAGCCTGTTAATGCATGGAAGTAGGAGACAGGATGGGCTGGTGCCAGCCCCAGAGCCAGGAGATCCGGGCATGACCTGGGCTGAGGGAACTCTTTCAGGAGCAGGTCTGGGGCGCCGGCCGTGAGTGCAGAGCCTTGGTGCCTCTGAAGCTCAGCTGCCCACAGGAGGTCCACACACATCAGATGAAGGTGTGACCCCAGAGACTGAACAATTATGTCAGGAAAATTCAGTAAAGGAGAGTGTGTATTTGTCCATTAATAAGAATGATGGGCTGATGAAAAGTCGTACATAAACGACTGAAGAAAGTCTGAGAGTCCAGCGTTGTCAGGACATGGGTGATGCAGTTCACTTAGGATGCGATTATTTCCTTTAAGCATTCTTCACAGTACTTTCTACTGCATGTAAGTCAAACGTGTGATGACTTTAAATCCACTCCCTTTCTGAAAACTTTTTGTTTTAGACTGAAGCACAGTGCTGTTAGTTTCAGGTCTGCAGCAAGGTGACTCGGTTATCCACATACCCGTGTCTGTCTGTTTGCAAATTCTTGTCCCCTGTAGGTTGTCACCGAATGTTGAGCAGAGTTCCCGTGCTCTGCAGTAGGTCCTTGTTGGTTATCTATTCCAAGTAAAGCAGTCATTCTCCACTTTGGAAATGAAAAGACCCAGACAACGCTGACTCGCTCTGTTGGCCACCAAGACAGAGTTCTCGTTTGACCCGGCTTCACTTCTGAACGTTGTGGGTTGGAGTAAACACTTTAAAAAGCTAAGCTCGGCCTCGACCTTCACCGTGACTTCCCGGGGTCCCCTCCCTGCCTCCCTTGCCCCCTTCTATTTTCCTTCTCTTCCTTCCTTTCCACAGAGACATGGCTGTTATTTTGATATCAAAGCGAGAAGTCATGACTATCATGTTGCCAAATAGGAGAGCCACACACAGAAAAACTAGGTAACTTGCCCAGCATATCCTAACACTGTCAGGACTGAAGCCAGGACGTCACACAGGACCTCTTATCCAGAAAGCCAGAGCCGGTGGCCCCGGGCCCCGCAGGGCTGCGTTTGATCAGTTTCCTGTGGTGAAGCCACAGGACAGCTGACCTTTATTTCCTCCTTTAATGGGTGGGGACTGTGCGGCCTTCTCTTCTCCTTCGCACCAGCCGCTGAGTCGTCTGCATCCCTGTCGCTCTGCCGGGATGTGAGGACCTGTCTCGGGCAGTCCCTTCAGTAACAGGGATGCCAGCGTGCGGGCGAGCTGGGGGCTCGGATGAGGCAGTTGTGCTGCTCGGGAGCCTGGTGCGGTCTGTTTTATGAAACATACATCTCGGGAAAAGCGCGGGCGTCTCCAGCTTCTGCAGGACAGAAGTGTGTGAATCAAACAAAGCCGGGGGGAAGCGGGGAGGTCCGACAGTTCCATTTCTGAAAAGGCGTCCCTGATGGGCTCGGAGGATGGGCCAGAAGCAACAGGGTGGAGTGGAAACAGCTCAGTGGGGAGCGTGTCATTGAAAATCAGAGCGAGGCCCTGCGACGCGGCAGGAAACGGAGACTTGCTTTGTTTCCATATAAACAATAATGTGTGGGCTTCTGACTGAGAACAGTTCTGTGGGAACTGCAGGGTCCTGAGACCTTAAGCAGATACTCTTAGGAGCACAGCGTCCGGAACTCTGAGCCCGTCGTGCGGTGCCTGCAATGCCCCATTCACTTCCGAGCTCTTCGTTTTTAGGAGGGCACACAGGAGTAAGCTGAGGAGGAAAGATTTTCTCACATTCTGGAGTTTCTCCACTGGGTCAAGCTCTGTAGTGGGCAGCCGCAGCCAAGCCGTCCCTCCTCCAAACACCCTAGTAAGACTGGGATGTTCCCTTTTACAGAGGAGAGAACTTACATGAGGCTTAGAGAGGTTTTCTTATAATAAGCAACCAGGAATCTACTGAACTTGGCCTCCAGGGACCATGTACTTTCCCCTGAATTAGACATAGTTACCCTGGAGATGTTTACTAGGAAAAATAGGTCCTGGGAGGAATGTGATAGCTGTCCTTTGATGTCCATGGCGTGGGTTGGGTTGGACTGGCTTCTCAGTGACTGGCTGGAACAAAAATAGAAGGGGCGGGCGTCAGTCACAGGGAAACAAATTTCGATTCCCTGGGGGGAAGACCTTGACCCATCGCGGGACAGTCTGCTTTTGAATAGCTCTACCTCTGAGAAAGGGCTTCCCTTTCCTGGGAGTGTTCAAAGCAAACAGCTGAACTGGAGCCTGTCAAGAAGACTGCCAGAAAAAAATTAGATCCCTCCAGCGGATAAATCTGCTTAGACAATCCATGAGGACGAAGAAAAATCAAACTTCGGGTATTGACTTATCATTTAAGTGCCCATGTACTAGAAACCTGTTGGACATTTTAAAAGAAATTGTCACCAGCTGATTTGTCAGTTTTAGAAGTCCGATTTTGTGGACAGAAGTATGACTTGAAGGGGGAAAGTTGGCATGTGTCTTGAAAGCTTTTCACTAAGACAGACTTGCTTACTAATAATTTGGAAGTACCACGCCCATCCTTTCTAGTCTCTTGTTGCTCTAAATAATCCATATCTGGGGTTAAGTCTTGTTTTAGGTGGCACTAGTGGTAAAGAACCTGCCTGCCAATGCAGGAGACATAAGAGACGAGGGTTCGATCCCTGGGTCGGGAAGACCCCCGGAGGAGGGCATGGCACCCCACTCCAGTCTTCTTGCCTGGAGAACCCCGTGGACAGGGAGCCTGGCGGGCTGCGTCCACTGGATTACAGAAAGCTGGACAGGGGTGAAGAGCCTGAGCATGCACGCACGCGCCGGTTTCTATTTCTCTGTTGCCTTCATCCTTTGCTCTTTTTCGAATAGCCTTCGGCACACACTTGGATTCATGTAAGATTTTCTGATACCCTCAAGAGTGAACCAGGGTAGCTAGTCAGAGAAAACAGTGAGAGGGAGCAGAGGCTTACAAGTAAATCCGATTGGCCATCTGCGTGCATGCTAAGTCACTTCAGTTGTGGATGAACCCATGACCCTGTGGACTGTAGCCCGCAAGGCTCCTCTGTCCACGGGATTCCCCAGGCAAGAATACTGGAGTGGGTTGATTGGCTGGCTATTTGTTACCAGATATCTACCATAAAATGAACCTTTATGCCTGTAGCATGACAGAATCCCTGAGATCCCTTTTCCCAAACTCTCAGACTGGGAATCCTTACTGAGAACTTTTAAGTGCTTCAGGGTTCAACTTTATCGCTTAAAGGTCACTGGGGTGACGTGGATGTACCTTCTTGCCATGGGAACTTTTGGGGAGTAGAGCTTCATCAGTTTGAACATCCCACATTCTAGTACCTAATTTTTCACACTTTCAGATGAGTCATTCCAATCATTTCTTCCAGAATTCCTCAAAATTCTAATAAAGCATGCAAAACAAATGTTTAATGAAGTACGTAATGTTATTACCCTTCATATACTAGTTTTACTTGGAGAAGGAAATGGCAACCCACTGCAGCATTCTTGCCTGGGAAATCCCATTGACAGAGGAACCTGGTGGGCTTCAGACAGTCCATGGGGTCACAAAAGGTCAGACACAACCTTGTGACTGAACAGCAGACAGGACCAGTTTTAAATCAGTCAAGTACTGGTTGTACTTTCGAAAGCTGTATCTCAGTGCAGTTTTTAGTACGTTGATTTTCTTTAATCAGTATGTTTATGCCTCTCTTCCTAAATCTGCAGCAAGTCTGTTTGCATGACACTGGTAGTTGTATCTAATGCCAAGTCTTTAGTTGAATACTTCACCACCAATGATAGGATTATTTTTCTGAAAAAAATACCTGCTTAGTGAAACTATATCTAGGAATAGTGTATATACAGCCAAAAAGAAAAGCATAATAAGTCAGAAGTATGTCTCAGTCTTTTAATTCTGTATTTCTTTTTCAGTGTAGACATACATTTTAATGTTATAATTCAGATATCTACTTATTTGTAAAGTAGGAACTGTTTTATATCTTATTGGAGATTACATTTTTTAATATTCATGTCATAGATAATTTTACTGTGCTCAAAACCAGCACTTTTAAAATAGTCTAACGTGTAAGTATTTTAATGTGTCCCTGAAAATTTCAGAAGCGAAATAACGGAATATGTTTTACTCATGTTGCATTCTTTTTTGCTGAACACCCTTTGAAAAGATTGCAACACACAGTGTCTGGTGGCTCATGTCTCAGAGATGCTGATGGCACATACCCGAAGGATAAGGAATCCTACTAGCTTTAACAGCTCAGACCTGTGTTTTATGGTAGAAACATACAGACATAGCCTATTCATAATTTGGCTTTTTCTGTCTCTCTGTGGATCTGGATATTTTATTTTTGAAAAAATAAGTGGGCCTTCCATACAGACCTAAGAGTGGGCAGACAGAAGGAGCAGCCACGCCCGTAGTTTCTTCTGTCAGTAGTATCTCAGGCCGCCTGTCCCCCAGGGAGATGTACTGTCTGATGCTCTGGTCTCTGACTAGAAAGCACTGTTTTCCTGGGAAGGGCAGCACAATATCTGTTGGTGGGTATTTTCCAAAAAGGAATGATAAAATTTGTACCTAGCATGTTTAAAAAAATAAACAGAAAAACTACAAGCATGCATATCTGTGTGAGAAAAAAACTCTTCACTAATAGTATCTAAAAACTTTTTAATATAGTTTGTTCTTCTATTACAAATTGCATCAAACACATTTTTAAATAAATCTTAAC